TTGGACATACATGTAGAGGAAATTACAAGCAGGGATATGATTAATGCACTTGCGTGGAATCCAAACCCTTATTTGTCATTACCAGCACACTGGTTAATGCTCAACAGAGAACATCTCTACACTGAAAGGCAGGGAATTCAGCTATGCAACAAAGTTGTGGTGTTCCTAATGAGAGAAGTCACTTCGGATTTCCAAAGATTCCACTGAAACAGAGTGGCCTCTGTCCCCATAGAATGACAGAGGCTCACAACAGAATTTGAATGGAGTGATATCAGACTTTGCCTGACTGCAGAGAAGACACAGGCTTATTTCTAGGCCTGGTAGTTGATTGTTCTATATGTCAATTATCTATCACTATGCACAAGAACATGCTGATCCACCTTTACCTCCAGCCACATATTTCATTGTAAATAAGGAACAGAGACATTCCTTCAGCACATTCTAATTTTCACATACCGCCACTCATGTCTGACACTATCACTACAGAGTAAGGGGTTTGTATAGGACACAATGATAAATGGTTCTTGTAAAACCACACAAGCTGATAAATGAAAGGCAGAAGGTGCTTTGGTATAAAAATCCCATGTCCAGGTGGGCACAAGGCTACAAAATTAAACAGCACTGAAGATTCTGAAAGAAGTTAAGGTATTACCATGGCCAGTTCCAATAATAAAAACAGACTTTAGTTTTATGGAATATACCATAACATCCAGAGCAAAAGATTCTTTCTTTGGTGGTGTCTGCTGGCAATTTCAATGTCAAAATCCCTTATTTCTTTCACTGGTTGAGTCCAAACCCAAGCAGAATGCCTATACTACACACACTCCTTTGCTTCTGCTTGACTGCTCTCATCTGAGCACTACAAAACACTCAAGGACACTCACCTGCTTTTCATATCCTTGGATACAATCAAGCAATTCCTTAACAGTATTTCTATGGCATATGATCTAATCCTGTGTAAAGATTTTAGGTACCTTTGAGCAAGAAATCCTGCACAGCAGAAGTCACATAATCATATTAGTGAAGCTCTCCACAGGGACTAAATAGCCTTGTTGAGAAGAACTTTGCTGAGCAGGGCTGCTCAAGTCAAGCCTGGCAGCTCCCTAGTGGTAATTCAGGTGGCTGCTTTGTGCTGTGTAGACACCCCTGCACAGTACCCAAGATCTGGATCACTCACAGCTTTGCTTCTGCTCTTTCTTTCCCCAGGCTGACCAGTTCCACAGTCTTTTACTGCAGATAAAGAAATATGCTTCTGATGTGTGTCTGAATTAAAGCAATACTAACTCCTTCAATGCAGTCAGAAGAACTGCTGTGTACCTAAATGAAGATGTTTCCGCACACTAAAAAAGCAGGGACTGTGTTTTCTTACTATCACTGCAGAATTTGTGGCCACCTCATGAGGACTTTAACATAATTAAATGAAGTAAGAAGTGTGCTCATCACTGTTCAAGGGGACATCTGAGATTTTCCATTGCTAATGGAACATTTCTGCCCCTTTCATCACTGAAGTTAAGTCTGCTGTCAGAGGCAGCAAAATTACTGGTGCTACAGATCTATTATAAAGGTATTAGTGAAATATTCCAGTGTGGTTTCCTGCTTACACATGCTCTAGAATACCCCTTACCACAGAAGTATGTTGCTGAGATCAAACCTGAACTCCCAGCAAACAAGAAAGAATAACCCGAAAGAACAGAGTGATCTGTCTTCTATATGCAGTAAGCTGCATATAATGGTCTACACCAGGGCTAGGGAGCAGATGGACCTTCAACAAGAGTTCACAGGCAGAAATGAAACGGCAGAAGGGATTTGGGGTACCTGTAGTTGGGTCCCAGAGTAATATCACTTTCAGCAGCTTCTGCCAGCTCATCTTCTCTAGCAGCAAGGATTTGTGATACCTATCAGATCTTACACAAGCACAGCTGTCAGCTCATCACGTAACCCAGCCAAAAAGGAAAACTGCATTTGAAGTGCTCAGGAATTGTTTAGGATTGCTTTTACCATTCCTTACGGCAGTATTCTGTACTTCTAAGCCTTATGGGAAACGTTTGAATTATATCAACTACACCAGACTAGCATCCTTCAGTGTTTGTAGGATACTCCGATCCTGAATGATTCAGTTGCATTGCTGGGAATTTGACATTGCTCAATTCTAAGAAACTGCTTAGATTTAAAAGCTCTAATTCATTTGAGTTGCTGGGAATGATCAGTTTCTTCCTCCAAAAGATTTTACTAGGAGTTTATGGTGTAAAAAATACCTGAGATGTCACCAGCAGAACAGCTCCTCCAGCTGAACTGCTTGCTCAGAGCTCATTTCAGACAGGTGGGAAGTCATTATATACCAAAAAAAAAAAAAAAAAAATCACCAGGACATTATATTTTCTTTGCCTGCTTCCTTCCTTACAAAGACAGCAGCATCTACTGATGCAGGGATCCCAATAAACGGTATTCTTTATGAGGATGAGACTTACTGAAATCTGGAGTAATGAAAGCACATATTTTTCTCTGTCCTGTTCCTACAGCTGCTGGTGGTCTGAATCTGAAAACTCTCCATTGGTCCCTAGTGTAGAAATGAACGTAACACAAGGGAGCAAGGCAGGTGGGTGGCAACTGGAAAACAGCATTTCTGTAAGAAAACCCCCTAAATACAGCAGAACAAAGCTATATATTCAGAAAGTTTCAGGGACATACTTTTAGTTATTGAAACTGAATGGCATCCCCATGGATTTTGCAAACCTTGTCATACAAAGTCATTCTGATTGAATCACTGCACTCCAGAATGCTGGAGATAAAACATTCCTCAGAACTCAGACACAGAATCAATTTTCTGCAATTTAATTATTCACTATGCATCAAATATATACTAGGCTATGTGCATCTACACTATAATTATCAAATGCATACTTTGAGCCAGTAACAAATGAGAGATAAATCAGTTGGAGTAAATCTTGGTGAAAGAGACTTAAGTTAATGCTTTTGAGTCCATATTTAGAACAGGCTAAAAGAATGCATGTAGTTTTACTATTATTCAGCTGTCATGCAGTAACTCAATGAGCCACAGTAATTCAATTGTGTATCAGATCTTTAGTGGCTCATCCAATTATGTAAACAAGTTTAAAAGCATAATTATCACTCTTTGCATGTTGCAAGCACCCAACTTTTAAATTAACAGTCCTTTTATCTTTCTCAATAGCCAAGGGATACAAAATTACAGCATATTTAGGGAAGAAGCTAGATCCTACCTTAGTTTTGTTGTATTTTTCTTGCACAAATACAAATAGTTTAAATGAGAATTGTACATCTCAGTAAAGAAATCCTGTCCCTAAATACCCTTGTGGTTCTGTACTCAAATTACTTTCAGCCGTACTGCTCAGCCTTCCTGAAGATGGATGACAGCACTGTGACTGTTTGTTTCAAGGTTGCTATTAAGAAGGAACAAAATCAATCCTGTGGGTCAGCGCAGGAGCTACTGAGGGAATGCAGCACCTGGATACAGAGTGGAGTTCACAGCATTTATGCTACCAGGCTAGTCATTCTCTGTGGCAGTGTATAATTTCCCAAGACAGATCTGCCATTACACATCAGCCAGTGGTTGCAAACAGAAAGATTTATCAGCACATTAACAAATGCCTTTATGAAGAACAAGCAAATATTTCCCCTCAGTGAAATCAAGTATCAGTGGTGTGGCCACCAAATGTTCATCTGCATTCAAAAGGTGTCTATACTGAGATCAAGAGTCAGAGACTTTTTCAACAGTCGTAAAGCTCCAGAGGATCAAACTGTAGAAAGGGGACCCAAGGATTGACTGGAGGGTATGCAGAGCAGAGCAAAAGAATAAATATTAATGGCACTAGCACAAATCTATTTGTTTTGCAGAAGATTTTAAGATACCAGCACCACTTGTCTGATTATGATTGACAAACAAGTGGCAAGGAGATTCAGCATTGCCACTGCTGTGAATACCAAGGAAATACCCTCAGTTACCTGTGATCTCCAAAAATTCTTTCAAATATTACAGAAAACTATGGTTACAGATACATGCTGAAGACCGACAGAGGCATGACATTTGATGTAACCCCAGCCTAACTACTTCAGAAACACACACCCCTTGTTTAGACACATGAACACCTTTTTCTGCAAGCTTATTCTTACACACAAATATAACAGGAATAAGGTAATTCTTTTTTTATCCTTCCCAAGCTTATAGTGTAACTAGAAGAGAAGTATGAGGTGCTCTTAGCTGTCTATATACAATACAGTACCAATAACGAACCCTACAGAACCTTCATAAAGGGACCATGTCCCTCCAGTTTCTCTGTGTGAAAGCTTCCAAGTAGCTGCATTGCTGGAAAACTGATTTTCTTCTAAAACTGCTGTAAAGTGCAATGGGTGTTTCAAATGCAGCAGTGCACCATGGGTGCAATTTAACTTCCAAAATCCCATCTCTCTTCACAGACATCTATAAATCTTTGCCCTTTAGACCAGAACTATCATGCATCCCAGCCTGCTAAGCCCTCCTAATTTAATGACACACATTTATTTGGAAATACTGTAGCAGAACAGCTTCAAAAGCATTACTCTGGCATTATTACACTGTGAGAAATCATGGTTGTTTGGGGTCTTCTAGCCTAATTAGATTCTATTTTGTTCAGTCACCCTCAAATGAAACTTCTGTTTTCAAAGGATTTTGTGAACAGTCTGCTAATGAAAGAGAATTTATAGTATTTATGGGGCAACAGTATAAATGGAATTTAATAGCCAACTGCCAGCAGGGAACCGTCTAATCTTTATCAAATGCTGATTAACAACCAAGGATTTCTGGTGAGATAATGAGCCCTGGACTGGCTTCTATCCAGTTTTTGACATTGGCACCGATGTACGTCTCCTAATTGCTAGAGGAAAACATATAATAACTGAACTTCAACTAATTAGTGGAGATTTAACCAAGCCATTGAAGTTTGTATCTTAGAAATTCACAAAAATACCAGAAGTCAGATACTCACCTCAGGCACTTAACAGACACCTCAGTTATCCTATGCAAATAAATTAAGAGATGAATTTCCAGAACTGGTGACTCAAGAAACTTTGCACTGCAATGAGAATAACTGCAAGAACTTCCACCAATCTAGACCTAGGAACTATACTGGTCCTTTACCAAACTGAATAAGCCTTGCACCTGTAGAGGGATTTCAGGGCCCCTAACAGGATCTGCCTGTGAAATTCATTACCAGGTCCAGAAAGTTCAAGTGATCGAACAGAAATTGCTAAATTCTGAGAACTTTAACATCTAGACCCATTTTTTCTATCTTCACAAAGCAGGCTCCCATACAAACTTCAGAGCTTAAGTCAGACACTCACTTGCACTGCCAAGCACAGAATTATATGCATTTCTAGAACCACCATCCCAATTTTCTTGAGGTTTTGTATTTCAATGGAATTTTGTCTCCATTCACCAATCCCCAAACCATCATTTCCCTAAGAGCTAACACGCATTTTAAAATTCCTAATTATTTCTGTAATTGCAGAAAAAAAATCACTACAAATCTCAAGGTCTGTAAAAACAGGAGTGACACTGAGTAAAATCCAAAAAACCACCAAACCCCAAAAGAACCCAACAAACCAAAGGCACCCCACATATTGCTTCCCTTCTCCTGGTACAGGAGGAACAAGATTCCACAAAGAGCCAATAATTTGTGGATGCTGGGGGGTTGGTGTGACTGGTAAAACAAAGAATAAGACTGCTGTCAGTTCTGTACAGCAGAAGATTAAGGGGATTTTCAAACCAGTTATCTGACTAAATGAAACGTAAAGCTAAATAAGCAAAGAATGTATGTTCCATCCAGCTAAAAAATGCACTTCCAAGATACATGTTGTTTGGCTGCCAAAACATGCTGTTTGGCCTGGAAAGGGGAAGCTGCAGAGATGATCAACTGACATAACATTACAAACCTACTGTATTAATGTCATAAATACACACACCTTTAATGGGTGGCTACTGATTGCAATTACGTCTCAATGTAATGGTGACAGAAAGGGTTACTTTCTACCATAAACGTGACAACAGGTGACAGAAAGTTACTTCAGATTCAACAACAGAAATTCCCAAAGCTGAAATGATGCATTTGAGAAATCTCTTACTACTTGCTTCTAGACAAGCAATTCAGGTTGTTCTTACCCAAGTCAGAACTGCAAAATCCTGAGTCTTTACAAAATGACAGTGCTGAGCAGGGAGACAGAAACATGTAAGACACAAGAGAGCAGTGACATTATCATGAGATTACCAATGGCATGAACTGACAAGACCTGAATTACTCAGTAGAAATTGCCCATATGGAAGTGTTCAGTATATTAGTTGCAAAGTACTTTGAAGAGTAAACTGCACTGAATTCACTACAGAATGGTGATAGACAAGGACACATATATGGAAAATTACTGGAGATTTGCTGATGCCCTGCGGGTTTTTCTTACTTGTCTTCCCTTTTGCTTATGTACCACTAAACCAGAAACAGAGAACTGAGAAACCAACTGAGTAACATTACGCAAAAGATGGGAAAATAATTTCATGGTTATCAGCAAAACCAAATCAACATCAGTTTTCTGGAAAGTGTTCTCTAAAATCCTTTTGCAGCCTCAAAAGCTCTGCAAAATGTGTAGTGACAGCGTGATCTAAGGGCATCTCCTATAAAGCATCTGTCAAGCTTTGTCTCCTTGAAGTACTTAATCCAAGAATAAATAACAAAACCAGATAAACAGATACTAGAATTAGCGTTCACCTGTATTAAAAAAATAAATCGATGACATTTTATTGCAGCAATGACCTGCCTAGCTCAGAAAATGAACTTGGCTTATTATTTTGTTTTACATGTACAATAGGTACCATTACTGCATGTGAGGACTGTGGGTACAAAAACCTTCAAGAAAGGAAGGTCTTCATCCTTTTTATATTCAGTAGCCCTCTGTCTCATAAAGAAATAAACCAAAACCACTACAACAAACAGTTTTGCACAAACAGGTACTGCGTTCTTTTGCACCAAGCAGAGGAGTTAGTGTACAGACCACTGAGCAGTTCCTCTGCAGAGCACTGCTTTGGGACCTTTGAAGGTGGATAGAATGAGTCAACTATTACGGCCAGAGATAATTACTTCGTTGGATTACATTGGCCCTGATCACTTATACACAGATCCCCTGAAACATTTCTCATGGTTGAAGGGTTTGGACAAAATCCACACTAGTTCTTTCCTCTTTATAACTGAGAATTAAACTTCAAGTGTCCATGAATATTAATCCATAATGCAGGACATCTTCTGAAAACTCTTTTAATTTATCAAGCAGTATAGGGATATAACTGGAGACAGGAGGTGGCAAAAAGCCCAAGGCAATGGGTTTTTTGAGCTTTAATGACAAGTGAGAAACACCCCTGGTGTAGAAGAATATGCATATAAGACACTGTTTTATAGACTTTTGTCTTTTTACAAAAGCAGAAAGCCAGAATGTATCCTGAGTGTGTGAAGAACTTGGATGCCCCCACTACTGAACACTGGTCCTATTTATACTCTGTTGGATATTTGCTTAACAAGTCAAAGCTGGCAGGTTGAAAAGCTACTGTAATGTAGCTAGTGCATGTTCAGAGAGTAATGTCAGGGATGTAAAAGAAGACGATCACAGTATTAAAGGACTTCCAGATTAAAATTAATTCTATTCTGTGTAACATGTTTAAAGATTAGATTATGTATCTTTAGTGGACCTAAGGGCACAGGAAAAAAATACAAAACCTTGACGCGTCTAAGAAGGCTTTTCTAATTTAGGTGCAAGATTTCAGTCAGAAATACGAATTCACACCACTTCAGTATGTCCCATTCCATCTGTATCTATGGTTTTTAAAATTGAATATTTCTGTACAGTTTTGATTTAGATTCATTTTCCCAGAGCAGTTTTGCAAACCACTTCCTCTTATGCTTAGTGCTGAGAGCTAAGGGCCAATAGGATCTGGGTATTGCTGGAGATGCTATTTTTGGTTAGATACACCTCCAGTTTCAGCCAGCCTGGAAATTCCCATGTTCCATGTTCCTATTGCCTTAAGAGATTAGGGGGACTTCAGCAGTTCAAAGAGAAAACACCAAAGGGAAACCTGGGACACACAAAATGTTGGAAATGACTGGGACAAGCAGAGTTACACAGCTGTGGGCTTTGTAGCATCATCATTTTACATTCATATTCTAGTATTTTTTAAAATACATCTTTGCTGTTCATTGCCCAATGAAGGCACAACCTTAAATGACAATTCTGACCCATCTTGTCTTTAAAGAATTGGATTGTTGCTTCTGATTTAGTTTCACACATATCAACATACTCAAACATTTTCCCTTAAGTCTTTCAGCAATCTCCAGTAAGGGAAAACCATTAAAATCTCATCAACAGTCTTTTAATGTATTTTCCTATTTTTACTGAATCTTTCTCATCAAAAGGGAGACTGTCAGAACAATGGATGTCTGCTGCGTTTTCTATTCCTGCTAGAATCACTTGTGTAATAGTATGTTACCTCATGACTATATAATCACTAGTATTTCCCAGCTCTTGTGACATATTATTACAAGTGGATCAACAAACAGTATCAACAACATGCTCTTTCCTTGGCACACTGAAAAATACTGAATGGAAATGGAACAAAATGAACATGGACTACTAAAGGCTTGGCTCATACCTCTGAGTTCTTATCATCCTTTAGTGCCCATCTAGACCTACCTCCTGCCATGGCCCTACCTGCCATGAATAGCTGGATAAACATCTTTTCAAAGCAGAAGAAAAATTGGCTGTGTGTTGCACAGCTTTTAGGCTACACTTACTGATTTCCAGGTCTTATTATCATGTTCCTTTAAAGTCACAATACATTTCAAGAAGTGCAAGATAAGGTAAAAAATATTTACCAGAATACTCCAAAGTAATGCTTTTGAATGTTTCATGAGTATTTCCTGAATGTTTCACTTTTGTTACTGGGTCTTTTCCATGCTAACTGGAAATCTGAATGTTCTGAACTTACTTATATATTTTGGAAGGAGAACAAGGTGGCGTGGGGAGAGGATGAAGACGTGTTCTTATTCTACAGAAAGACCAAATCTGTGCTTTGCTCACATCTGTGTATGCCTGCCACAACGTATCCCGAATAAACCCAAACATTATTATAGCTGGTATAATTGAAAAGCTGACATTTAGAGACCAGTTCCACATTTCTGGCTTCTCATTCTTCCAAACTTTCTCTGCCTTTAAGAATGATTTTGATATTTTTGAAAGCAGAGGGTTACATTACTGTAATTGGACACAGAAATAGACTATTGATTTGCACAGACTAATTGGACACTGCCCATCCATTTACATGAGTAAGTGTCTAACAGGCACATAAAATTACAGCAACTGTGCCTGAATATTGGGCACTTAATTCAGTTCAGGCAGGCTTCTGCAGTGATGGAAACCAGGGTTTGCATTGTAAATTTCAGTTTCTCCAAAATCTTTTTTGCCTTGCTTTAATACCATTGACAAGCCATCTCTGCTTTGTTTATAACGTTCACTGAGTAATACAAAGGCCTGATACATATTATACTTCAGATAGGTAAGTTACATGATAAATAGAGTTCATTTTTCTTACGTTGTTAATTTAAAGACTAGTAATATATTGCTGTTTCAAATAAGCTGCTGTGTACTCGGAGTCTTTGACCATATATCCTTTGTGCAGAAGTTATTTATTATTTCTACTGCACCACTGCTATACACAGCTTCTTACAATTACCCATTATATGACAGCAGAAAGTTTCAGTCAATCATGAGCAAGAAGAGAAATGTTATTTTCCCACCTCTGCTGATAGCTTTATTAGCATTGGGCTGGATTCATTCCCAGGTAACATTGATTTCAATGGCACTTCAACAGCAACGAATTATGTGCTCACATCCCATTTATTTATCTGCCCTTTCACAGTTAGCCACCACAGCTTACTTCTTCCATGACCTGAAGATGGACAGCCCAATTTTTAGGGTGCCTTATTTAAGGAATGGGAGACTTCGGTTCATTTCACTTGGTACTGAATTACCTCAGTCAACCCTTTCAGACTTCAGCCTCAAAGTCAACAGGCCAAAAGCCCCTCTTATA